TTTAACTCTCTCTTTGTCTTCCCTAAAAGCTTCATAATTCTGATACTAAATAAATATTTATAAGGTATTAATTTTTTTTGGGGAAAAGAGAAACATGAGAGAGAGGGGTAGAGTGAGAGATTGGGATTCAGGCACTGGACACAGGGCAAGGCATCGACGGTCAGCACCGGGTAATGAGAAGATCAGAATCCAAGAGAGAGGTCGACAGTGGAAGGGGGTGGATACAAGGCAACTTATCTGGAATGGGAATCGGTATGAGCACAGAGAGGGGGGGTTTGACAGAGGACAGTGGGAAGAAGGGAACTGGAGTAAGCACATGCAGTGGGGGTATGACAGAGGGCAATATAAGCAAGCTACAGCATTCTTTTTTACAAATATGCCGGAGGAATGGAGCTACACAGAAATGTGGAGAACATTCGGAAAGTTTGGAAGGGTATTTGATATTTATTGTCCTCAGAGGAGAAGCAAGAGCGGACGGAGGTTCGGATTTGTCAGGTTCCTTAATGTAAGGAATACTAGGGAGCTTGAAAAACAGCTTGATCAACTAAAGGTTGAGGGGCAGAAATTATGGGTAAATCTAGCAAAATACCCAGAGGAGAAACATAAAGGGGAGACAGCAAGGAGAATCATCCCATCAAGCGAAATTGTTCAGGGGAAGTCATATGCTGATGCTGTGAGAGGACAAGAAGGTCGTGAATATGGGAAAAGCGTAGAGAAGACAACTATGAGTACCTTGATGCGTGGAGAAGATAAAAGCAGAGCACACGAAACACAGAAGCAACCGAAGAGCGGACCAATCTGGAGACAGAAAAAAAGAGAAGAGGTGTGGTCGGGATTGGAGTTCAATGTGAAAAAAGAAGAGCTACTGTGGCTGCAAGGAAGCTGTGTGGGAGTTGCTCACTCAGTTGAGATTGTACCCAATTTACAAGAGAAGTTCTATATGGAAGGGTACTTCTCATGTAGATTGAGAGCTATGGGGGGAAAGCTGGTCCTTATGGATGGTCAAGACAAAGACGAAATTAAGGACTTAGTGGAGGGAGCCCCGGAGTGGCTTGGACAGTGGTTTTCTGAGGTCAAACCGTGGTCCCCCTCAATGGTAGCAAAAGAAAGATTTGTGTGGATAAGGTGCCAGGGAGTCCCTCTGCATGCTTGGTGCCCAGAATTCTTTGAAGAATTGGCACTAGTTTGGGGAAAATGTATATGTTTGGACGATAGTACAAGTAAAAAGAGAAGGTTTGATGTAGCAAGATTTTTAATATCAACATCAAAAATGGACACAATCTCCGTTCACCGGGAAGTTAAAGTAAATGGGGTTGTGTATGAGCTGAGGTTCTCGGAGGAGGAATTGACTAACAGCCTCTTCTCATTGAAGTATGACTTCAGGCCATCTTTCAATAGCGACTCAGAGATTGAGGAGTATTGGTCGGATGCCACAGATTACACAGCAGGTTGTGTCGGAGTTAGCGACGGAGAAGAAGGTGGAGATAACGCCGGAGAGTATCTTTCAGGCAGAGGATCATTACCGAGCAAGGAGAGAGGAAGCAAGTTGGCTGTCACATCAAACTCGGAAGCAAAATTTGAATTTGCAAGAAAGAGTAATGATGAGGATCGGTCAGATAAGCAGGCTAGGCGCTCTCATAGCAGAGTAGGTGAGGAAGAATCCGTTGATGTGGTAGCAGATAGCCTTGAATTGGATTTGGAAGAGGATGACGCAGGGGAGAGAGGTGATATTGAAAAGTGTGTATCAGGAAGCAAGGTGGGGACTGTCTCAAATCCAAAACTTGCAGCAAGGGCGGGAGATTATGGGCCGGACACTCACCCCAGCAGGGATCCTTTTGTAGGATATGGGTCCAATGGAAACTGGGCCGGGGAAGGAGAGTTAATAGAAAATTGGGCTGAGGAAGGATTAAATTCCAGTCCACTAAAAGGGAGGGAAGTGAGAACCATCGGGGGAATTAAAAAGAAGCTCACTCCAGAAAATTCAGGAACAAAAGTCACGAACACTCTGGAGAAATGCAGCTCCTGTAGCAACGAGAGAGGTAGTATAGAAGGGAGCAGGGAAGAGGAGACGAGCACAACACAAAAGGAGGAAAAAAAAAAAGAGAAAGAAAAGGAGCAAATCGTGCACTTTTGTTTACCAAAAATCAATCCTTCTCGGATTCATGAAGATGAAGAAGAAAAGCAGGGGCAGATGCGGAGCGAGGCAAACGGAGGAAGAGGCAGTGTCGGTGTTCCTTCCAAACACTAGCAACTCAATAGCGGGAGGTTCGGTAGGAGATAGCGGTATCCAAAACTGTAATAGAATGCTAAAGGAACTACCCAACAAACGGATTGCTACTGATTTATGGGAGTGTGCGAAGAAGATAGGGGCAGTTGCAGAGGAAGAGGAATCTGTCATCAAGAAACTTGAGGAGTTGGAGACCAGAGACAGAGCAGCAAAGGAGAAAGAAAGCTTAAAGGGCCCGAACAAGGAACAGAAGGTGAGTGCGGTGATTAAATGAATATTTTGTCATATAATATTAGAGGATTGGGGGTAGCGGGGAAGAAGAGAATAGTCAGAGATTTAGTGAAAAGAGAAGGTGTGAACTTCCTAGCAATTCAGGAAACCAAGAAGAGTGGAATAGATAGAAAATTCTGCAGATTGCTGTGGGGGGCAGAGGATTTTGATTGGGTGGCAAAAGATGCAGTAGGATTGTCGGGAGGTATGGTCTGTATATGGAATTCTAAAGTACTCAGAATGATGAAAGTTTGGGAGGGTGAAAACTTCATCGGGATACAGGGGAGGTGGGTAGCAGAGGATGTTTGTGTTAATATAATCAACATTTACTCTCCAGGTCATTTAGCAGGTAAAAGAAGCTTATGGGGGGAATTAAAAAAATTAGTTCTGCAGTCTAGGGGGCTATGGTGTCTTGTGGGGGACTTTAACACAGTAAAGAATGTTGAGGAGAAAGTAGGAAGCAAAGCAGTAACTCTTGAGATGAGGGAGTTTAATAATTTCATAATGGAAGCAGAACTGATTGATACACCATTAGTGGGCAGAAAATTCACATGGTACCAACCGAGTGGGAAGTTGATGAGTAGAATTGACAGGTTCTTACTATCGGAGGAGTGGCTGAATAAGTGGGGAGAGGCAACCCAATGGGGTCTAACCAGATCTGTATCAGACCACTGTCCAATCCTTCTTAGACATCAGAAAGTGAATTGGGGGCCCAAACCATTTAGATTTTTTGATGTTTGGCTAGAGCAAGAAGGGTGTCAAGAGGTGATAAGAGAAGCATGGAGAAAGGAAAATACTCATGGGTGGGCAGGATTTCGCCTCAAAGAAAAACTCAAGTCCACCAAAGAGGCGTTGAAAATATGGAGCAGAAACATGGTACCAGAAATAGAAAGGAAAATGAGAGAAGCTATGACAGAGATCGCGCAGCTTGATGTGAAAGGAGAGGCGATTCAGTTATCTGAGGGAGAGATTGAGAGAAGAAAACAGGCATCCCTGATTGTGTGGGACAACATAAGATTTAAAGAGAGTATGATGCAGCAGAAATCCAGGAAAGCTTGGCTAGCAAATGGAGATGCAAACATGAAATATTTTCACAACTGCGTGAAGGGGAGATGGAAGAGGAATGAAATAAATAGCATTCATGTAAAAGGAGTCCAGCTTACAGAGGTTGATAAAATGAAAGAAGAAATCGCCAACTTTTTTGAAGAGACATTCTCGGAGGAGCAGTGGGTTAGACCATCCGTGGAAGGCCTCCAATTCAAACAAATCTCCCCAGCAGCTAATGACTATCTCATTGCACCTTTCACTGAAGAAGAAATCAAGACAGCGGTGTGGGACTGTGAAAGCTCAAAAGCACCGGGTCCGGATGGCTTCAATTTTAAATTCATCAAGAGTGAATGGGAGACAATCAGAGGTGATGTTACTGAATTTCTTCATGAGTTTCAGAAGAATGGCAAAATTGTGAAGGGTCTAAATACGTCATTCATAGTTCTTGTGCCAAAAGTAGAGAACCCACAGAAAATTGAAGAGTATAGACCAATTTCACTGATAGGGGGTATATACAAAATCCTCGCAAAGTTACTTGCTAACAGGCTTAAGAAGGTGCTGGAGGGAATAGTTGGGGAACAGCAAATGGCATTTTTAAGTGGTCGGCAACTAATGGATGGGGTTGTAATAGCAAATGAGGTTATTGATGAAGTAAAGAAGAAGAGGAAGGAAGCGTTTTTGTTTAAGATCGACCTTGAGAAAGCTTATGACAAGGTCAGTTGGAGATTTCTGGATTTCATGATGCAAAAGTCGGGTTTTTCAAATACTTGGAGGGAATGGATTATGGAGTGTCTAAGGTCAAGTATGGTGTCGGTTCTGGTCAATGGCAGCCCTACCAGACAATTCTCTATGTCTAGAGGTCTCCGACAAGGGGATCCACTGTCCCCATTCTTATTTCTGATTATTGCAGAAGGGATTAATGGGCTGGTTATGAAGGCTGTTGAGAAAGGTTTACTTGAAGGAGTCGAAGTGGGAGGAAAAGGCTTCAAGATCTCGCATCTCCAATATGCAGATGACACTCTGTTGTTCGGCACAGCTACTGAGGAAAATGTTTGGGCTATGAAGAGCATCTTAAGGACATTTGAGCTGGTATTAGGGCTTAAGATAAACTTTAACAAAAGTCAGCTCATTGGCATTGGAGTAAAGGAGGAGTGGTTAGAAAAAATGGCATGGATTTTGTGCTGTAAAAAAGGGGTATTGCCCTTTAAGTATTTGGGGGTACCCATAGGGGGGAGGAGTGGGAAGCTCTCATTCTGGAAACCAGTGCTGGAGGGAGTGAATAGAAAACTATCCACATGGAATGGGAGATTCTTATCTCTAGGAGGAAGGATTACCCTCATTAACTCAGTGCTGACCAGTCTTCCTGTGTTCTGGATGTCCGTGTTCTTGATCCCGAAAGGTACGATTCTATTCCTTGATAAAATTCGTAGGAGATTTTTATGGGGAGGTGTTGAGGGAGGTAAGAAAATAAATTGGGTTCGATGGGACAAGGTTTGTAGGGACAAAGAGCAAGGGGGGTTAGGTGTAAAGGATCTAAGGAAGTTTAATCTAGCTTTGCTTGGGAAGTGGTGGGGGAGATTGGTTAACGAGGAGGAGGGTTTATGGAAAGAAGTAATATTGCAGAAATATGGTAAGGTAGGGGAACCCAGATTCAATTGGTTGAGGGAGGGTTATGGTTCTGGGTCTAGATGGTGGAGGGATATATGTAGGTTGAATGTCTTAGACCAGGAGAATGATGGCTGGTTAGCAAAAGGGCTGAATATTAAAATAGGAGAAGGGGATAGTGTAAAATTCTGGTGGGACGATTGGAGCGGGAGAGGAATTTTGGCTAACAAATATCCTAGACTCTACTTAATATCTGTAGGTAAAGACAATACAGTGTCACAGATGGGTTGGTGGCTCAATGGCAGCTGGATATGGAAACTGCAGTGGAGGAGAAGACTATATAGCTGGGAAGTCCAAGAAGAAACAGAGATTTTGAAGGAAATACAAGAAACTACAATCACGAAAGGAAAAGCAGATGTAAGAGAGTGGATTCATAGTAACACCGGGGTATAAACAACAAGATCTGCGTACAAGACACTCACTATGGAGCTAGAGCGGGATCAACTAGGAGTGACTCTTCAAAAAGTTTGGAATACACTGGTACCAAGTAAGGTTTCAGCATTTTCCTGGCAACTTTTGCAGGATAAAATCCCTACCAAGGCAAATCTTTTCAAAAGAGGTATAATTCAAAACATGGAGGACTGCAAGTGTGAACTTTGTGGGCACCAATTGGAGGAAACTAGCCATTTATTCACGCACTGCAAAGTGGCATATGATCTGTGGAATGCATGCTTCAGGTGGTGGGGAATTAGAACAGTGCTGGACAGAGATGGGTGCAAGGTTTTCCAACAGCATCCTTCGGCGCTCAAAGTGGCAGGATTAAAAGAGGGCTGGAGTTGCATATGGTTTGTAGTTGTGTGGACATTGTGGTTGGCAAGAAACAACAGCATATTCAATGGAAAAGTAGCGGACAATTGCAGGCTGCTTGAACTGGTTCATCTAAGGTCCTTCAGCTGGTTGAAATACAGAAAGAAAGGATGTCTTTTTTCTTTATCCGACTGGATCCAGGAACCGGTTGCCTGCTTAAGAGGGGTCGCAGCAAAAACCGGCAAAACAGAGTGTTAATACCAGGGTAAGCAGCGGATCTCTTAGGAAGGGGCGCTCAATTAAAGTAAGTTCATATGTTTTTTGGGGGTAGTAGGTGCTGAATAAGCACATCTTTCCCTGTAAAAGGTTTGGAGTACACCCAGTACTCCTATAATAGAAATTTCTTTGCTTTTCAAAAAAAAAATATTTATAAGGTATTAGAATATCTAATTGACATATATGTGGAACTCATATCAAAATAATGAAGGCAGGACGGATTTGGTGAAAATCGCACAAAGGTGTCGACCGCCGGATTTGGTTTAGCTTCTAATTTTTTAAAATCTATTTGTTATCTTAAAAAAATATAATATTTAATTAAAATAAATATTAATATATTTTATATATTATTAAAAAAAAATGACCTACAACTCTAATCCTACATTTTGCCCCACAGCCATCCGAGAGTATAGTCTTAATATTGCCCTCCAATTAAGCGGTGAATATTTCCCCCTGGCATACAAGGAATCATCTTGCTTTCTATTATTCTTTTGCAAACATAGAACTCCATCTGAGACCATAGCATTAACATTGCCAACAAAGCAGTGGATATTTCCCATGGCATACAAGTAGTCGTCTTGCTTTTTATTATTCCCATGCAAACAGAAAACTCATCATTGCTTTTGACCTCTTAATGGATTCGTGATCAAGGAGGATGAGTTTTTCATTGGCTAGGATTTGTATTGTTAAGTTAGACTAGAAATATACTCATGAAGAAATTTCAAATGGCGGATGTAGATCTAACAAATCTTTTATTTAAAACTCAAAAAGTGAAAATTTATATAATATTTATATTATACAAACAAATATAATGGAGTCCATGAGTATAATATAATGATTAGTTTCTAACAATATCTTATAAATATATAAAATTTTCTTTGCTATCAATTTTTAATTTGCGAAATCACCTTTTTTACTTCTGATCTTTATCACACTTTTTCGAGCAAATGGTGCTCACAAATATGAGTTTAAAACTAGCTTGTCATATAATTTTGATTGATTTTTTGTTGGCCAAAGCATGTAAACGTTAGCCATGTTCACTTGTCACGGAGTAGGCACAGCAATTTCAACACTTCCAAACCGAAGCATTTTGTAGTTGGACTCATGGATTCAGCGCCGATATTTTAGACTAGTCCATTAAAATGATGGATGAAGCTCAGCCCGTGAGTTGATTCGGTCCATTAGAAGCCTATATTTAGTCCAGTCCGTTAGGGTGTAATGTTTTCCTGTTTTTGCCTTTTGCCTTCGGCATATTCAAGAAGGGGGATGGAATCATGGTTAATAAACTAGACGACAGAACAAAACAAGACAAACTACTTCATGTCTCATGACATGACTATTCTTCTTTTAAGCTTTTTAATTGGGTTTAATGCTCTACTAAAATCACAGACTATGGTGTAAATATGTTGAAGTATGTTTTAATTTAAATGAATTAGTCTTTTCTTATTCAAAAAAATTTACCAATTTTAATTTTGTTCGTGCAAGGTCTGTGGGCATTGTGTTATAGAAAATTATTGTGTTTAAAAGTTTTGTTTTTGGTTTGGATATTCTAGGAAAAAAGACTATTGCATTAAGAGGCTTTCATCTGATAGTTGTGGACTTGCTGGAGGAGGAAGGGTGACGAGTGGATGGAGATCAATCTAGGATTTTTGTCGAATGTGTTGCTTTTGTTTTAACCCAACCACGTAAGTAGACCCAAGAAAGGATTCTTGTGATTTTGTAAGAAATCAAGTTTGTGATTTTTTTTTTCGAGGTCAATTTCTAAAAGTCTTGTATTTTGTTTTTTATTAACTAAAAATATTTTCAATTGACTTATTTTCTTAATGGTTGTTAAATATAAAATATATAAAAAATAATTTTTGAAAACTACGTCGTTTACTGAAGTTGTATCTTCTCTTACTCTACAAACAAAATGTATTCTCAATGATAATTGACTGAATAATTTCAACATGATTCACCATCATTGCATTTTATTTGACCTTTTTGGTCAACACAAACATACCCATTTCTGTCTTTGAATTTCATATCATATTTGATTTCGTTTTTCTTGTTTAATTCTGTTGAGGTGGCTGGAGGAATTAAAAGTTATTATGACGGAATACACAGATATATAGACTGCTGCAAACATCCTTACAAATTGACTTCAAAGGGATACAATTTACCAAAAAAGGGGGACTTCAAAGGAATACAACCCATGCAAATCTTTATTAGAATACATAACATGACACGACATCACAATTTAAACAGGGAAACAATTTTGTTTGAGCAGCTAGCTTCACTTATTGCAACCTCTGGAATGACGAACATAACCTGAAGAGATGTGTTGAGCATAACTTTCACTTTTGATACCCCAATATGCCTCTGCCTCCACCACGTAGAGAGAAGAGCTTTTCCATGCTTACTTGAAATGATAAGAAAGAACTGAATAAACACTTTGAAGCACAGTAAATAGAAGCAAGAAAACCGCAGCAAAAATGGAAATGCCCCCCCATGGAGTGTTAAAGTAATTGTGCCATAACTTTGCCTTCCAGTGGTTCCACTTTCTGTCACAATGCTTATTCACTTTCTTGAAGGTCTCAGCATAAGAGAAGTCCTCTTCGGAGATCACATAGTCACAGAGTTTGTTCAATATGGCAGCGACCACTCCATGATTACCTAACCGGTTATCAATAACTTTATGGCGAGAAAGTAATTCAACATCGTTCCATGTGTTGATAAGGCGATCCATGAATGTAACATAATTCGTGAAACTTTGTGAAGATGCACCCTCGAAGCATTGTTCATAAGCAACTAAATTTCGAAGAAGGGACTATGTATCGTAGTCTACTCTTAAAGTTGGAATTGACATTACCCCCTTCTGAAACTCGATATCAAACAATCTCCCCTCAATTTTTTTAAAATTTATTCCTGCCTCGCTGAGCTCTGTTGCTGAACGTATGAATCGCCATTCCTTGCTATCAGGTTCTTCTATACTTATCGATGATGAACAGAAATTAAGCTTTGCCTTAGGGCATTGTGACCTTATATCAAATTTCCACCGTGACATTGGTTCACTTGACACTATTTCTGTTTCCTGATCATCCACTGCTGGCTTGGATCGTTATCTTCCTCTGCTGACTTGGATGGTGATGATAAACAGAGGATAGCCATTGCCTTAAGTTTTGCCTTAGAGCATAGTGACCTTATAACTTTCTCTGGTGAGCAAGAAATACGGACTTCCTGGCGATCAGACGAAGGAGCCTGGCAGCAGCTATCATGAAGTAAGCCCAGTAGATGCTTCATATCTTTATGCTCGGGTCTTCTAAGAGATCCTGGCATCACTCTAGAGAAGAATTTAATAGCTATACCCATGAAGTCCTTTGCTTCATCGTTTGGCATCAGAGTCATTTCAAACAACTCTGAAAGTATAATGAAAGGAAGTTGATTTTCAATTAACAGTTCACGCATTAATCTTCTTAAAATAAAATCTGTAAGAAAATGGTCGTTTTCATCTTTCAGTTCCTCCATGGCACTCTTTCGAATAAGCTCAATGATAAAGCATCCATCAAGGAGCATCATTTCTACAATTTCTTCTCCACCAATACGATCCAAAGGTTCTGAATAAAATTGGCGAGCTTCTTCTTCCATGTTTTCCAAGGCCTTCACATATCTCTCCAGACTAATTTCTGTTTGCTTAAGTAGCATTTTTAGATAAGACATTTTGTGCACTTCCATTGCCTTCAACTGACCTTTACCATGATGGTAAGGGCCAATGGAGATCACTTGAGGTTCATACGCTTCTTTACTTATCTGGCGCAAAGGATTAGGCACTTCGAAAATGCTACAGCTTGACGAGTCTGTTGAAATTGAAACATCAACTTGGAGCTTTTGAAGTAGTGGAGTGCGAGGAGAAGTTTCGTCTCTTCCACCTGGCATCTCACCTACTGAACATAAAAAATCAAATGATTAACGGGGCAAAATGAGAAACAGATTCGCATTTTAAGTTAAATAATTATATCCGAAGTCTAAGAACATTAGGGCAGCTCCATCAGTCTATCATCTATTGAAGGGTTAAGTCAATGGACTACTATCAAATTTTGTTCATTAGCATCAGTGTACTAGAAACTAATGGCCGTTGGAGTCCTTAAAGGGTGCGTTTGGATAACGGGAAGTTAACTTTTCCCTTTACTCAAAAATTTTATGCGCATTATAGTGTTTTTGCACCTTAATATATAACAAATAAAGAGTAAATTAAGTTAACGTTTTTAATTTTTATTTTTCTGAACATAATTCCAATAAGGAAATATTTTCCCCCAAATTTCTCAATGCAAGACCCACTTCATATCTTTCTCTCAACATTCCTAAGTAATTAAATATCAACCTACAATAATTAATTTCAAGAAAATAACTCTCTGTATATTAATTTTTAAATTTCCGTAATTTCTCAACCACTTTCATCATCTAGGAACTAATTAAGTTCCACGGCTGGTTTATGGATAAGCCATGCTTCGAGTTCTACTTAAGGATCATCCTCCAAAGGACTCAGTAAGCTTAAGTGCAACATACTGGACTTTCCAAGCACTTCCAAACGAATCCTGGGGTAATTCAGAAAATTATCCTTTCTATTGATAATTAAATTGATAATTTACTCGAAATCTATCAACACAAAAATAAATAAATAATAAAGAAAACTAGTAATTCTCCATAGGATAACATTAGAGATAACATTAGATCCTCTTCCATAGTTCCATGTAAAACAGAAAATAAATAAATAAATAACATATAATTAATAAAAAAAAAAAAAGGAAAATGATTGGTATACTCAACTATTCAACACTCATCTCAACACCTAAATGTAAAATGAGGAAGGGTAAATTTGTAATTTTATTGTTTAAACAACATGGGTGTGAGAATGTGTGTTGAATAGTTGGGTGAATGTATCATTATCCTAGAAACTACAATTTAACATATTTGCTAACTTTCATTGATTTACTTACTAAAATCTACAATTTTAAGTTTTCTCACCTTTAACTCAAATTCAAAAATAGTATTTTGTTAATAAGTGTATTATAAAAAATGTTGAACCAAATGATATATGTATTAGTGTTCAATTAACAAATGAATTCTATAGGGGAAAAAGGAAAAAATTAAAGCATTATTTCAAATTTGCAAATCTCACATGCATACATGCATTAGAAAAAAAAAACACCAAATAGTATTTCGGTTCTACAAATCATATAACAGGAAACAAATAGAAACTTCAGCAATTTCCGAGCTCAAAAAACCAAATCTAGAGTCCAAACAAGGAGAAATAAAGCAAAAATTCAAGCGAACTTGTGGGAGTTATTACTCAAGCAGATTGAAAGAAGACAATTAAAACAATAAATTCTTCGAGGAGATCAAACTTAGTGTTCTTGATTTGCAGAAGAGGAAATGAAATTGATATTTTAAAATTTTATGTCTGCTCCACCGGAGATGTTGCTTCTCTGTAGTAAGAGTAAGAAGAAGGAGAACTATTTTCTATGATTTACTTTTGAACGAATTCCTTCGGTTTTATATAGAGGTGTGAGAAAGACCAGGCGGCCGTCGTTTTCTCTTGCTCCTGCTTTCCTTCAAATAACGACGCAAATTTTAAAAATTAATTAAGCCTCCAGTTATGGTTGTAGGTTTTGGTTTTTGTTTTTTGTTTCCATAAATTTTATAATTTGAAAAAAAAACTTATTTACTTTTACATGCTGTGCAATATATATTATGATTGTTAAAGAAATAATAAAAAAATAATTTTAATATTATTAAATAAATTAATATTTTTAATTTTTAGTGTTAGGATTTGTTTTAAATAAATTTTTAATTTTTAATTTTAATTTTCAACAATTTCAAAATTTATTAAAAAAAATAAAAACTTAAAACTAAAATCATATTGAACGAAGTTTAAAAAAGAAACTCTATTATTAATTAATTAAATTAATAATTTCAAAATGTTCGCTTGTACTTTATTAATTTAATAATAATTTTTTGCCGTAAAAAAAAAAAAATGATTGCCATTTTAGTACCGAAGACAATTACAATTCCGATGTTTTTCTAATTGATGGTTTCTAATCGTAAATAGTACATTGAACATTCACTTAATCTCTTTTTAGAAAAACTGCAAAGGTCATATTTAATTAGATTGAAAGGTAGTAATCTTAATTAAGTAATCTTAATTAAATAGTGCTATTGGAACAATTTTTTCATCTCACATTTTGATATAATTTTTACATGTCATTAAATGAGTGGATGCATTCAATATCACGGATCCTATATGAATTAAAAGAACCAATCATTTTAATGATATGTCAAGTTGTACCAAAATGTAAGATGAAAAAACTATCCTAAAATCATTTCCCAATCTTAATTAGTAATGAAAAAAAACTATATCGTTAATTAAAAATTAAAAAAAAAAAAAAACTATATCTATATTTGTACTACTCCTTTTATCATGGAATTATACATACTTTTTGCTTTTATTTTAGGTTTGAGGATTTGGAGACAATTTCTATTTTTAATTACCTTACCTTTAAAAATAATTACTTTACCTTTAAAAAAATAAAAATAAAGAGACTTTTTTACGATAAGATGAATAAATAAAATTAAGAAATAATTATAAGGTTAAAATAGGAAAAAAATATTTGTCTCTTTTGAAATATGAAAAATAAATATTATTTTAAAATGGAAAAAAAAAATAGAAATAATCTCCTTGAATTGAATTCCCTTCAGAATCCAACATCTAAGCTGGGGGCAATGCCTTCATCAATCATTGAGCCTGCAATATTGTCTCAAAACAACCCCAAAACCAAAAGCCCCAATGCCACCACAAAACCAGCCCTGAAGCTTGTAGCAGAGCTCGTGGGAGCAATGGCAGGAGCCTCAAATTCAACAGGAGAAGGTGCGGGAGAGATGGCAGTGTACCTGTGCCTTGGAGTCAAAACAACCACAATCAATTTCTGCCCTTGCTCGCAGTGTCCCTTCGCTCCACTAATGAAATAGAATGGTCCCGGTCGCTCCAGCTTCACCTTGGTGTCCCCATCTTTGTACTCTGCAACTGGATCTGTAATATTGCAGCTCTGGTAAGCCTCCTTTGTCACTTGCAGCACCGAGTCCTTCCCACCATCATATTTCCACAC